TAGAACTGCAGTTGAGTCATTTTTTTGTTCCTTTTCACAGTTAGATTCCATCCGCCGTTTCCAGTTGAGAATAATAAGGGATAGTGCAGTGGATCGTATGCTGGGTGCAGTTCGCAGATTCGTTTTGAGTTGTGGGTTTTTGTTGTTGTTGATTTTTGTCGTTTTTTTTTTTGGTAATAGATTAGAATATCACGGTGCCCAACTGGCTCATTTGGCATAAGAATAGCATCTTACTTACAGGACAGTGCATTGTATCGTCTCTCGTGCTCACCGAGTGGTCTAGCATTTTCATGAATTGATGTGTTGAAATTTTGAAGTCCATTTTGAGTTGCATATTGGTATGCAGCCTTTATTTCTTTGATGTATTTGTTGTATGTTCGTAGACTGTCTTGTAACATATTGATTACAATGCGTTTAAGACTGCAGTCATGTGTCATTGTCATTCTTGATTTTATTTGGTCCATCGAGTCTAAAAAATAAACCTACAAAAATGTTCATTTTCATGTTCTGTGTGAAGAAATGAGCCAACCAAGAAATAAACCTGTCCTTGCATAGGGAAATTTGGGTTCCAGCCTTGCAAATTGATCTTTTGACATCCAAAAGATGTCATTTGAAATGAAAAATTATACTTTCTGATGTTGCTTCAAAATGCTCCGAGTCTGGGGAATTACCCATAAAGAGATCTTTAATTTTTGGTGGCAGAGGTGGGTATGGATCCAATTTATGTTTCCCATTCCCACAGCAAATACTTTTTGTTTCTCCTTGAAACTTTGTAGCATTACAATTACAATGGTTGCACACATTTGTGTCCCAGCCGGTCAATATCAGTCATATGAAGGAACTTTCAAAACTGAGTTAACATTATTTTTAAAAACTGTCACCTTTTCACTACAAATTTAAAAAAAGAAGTAAATATGACAACATTTGACGAAACTACAGAACTTTTAATTGTGCCAGGTGAGGAAACACGAAAAGGAGAAAATGGCCTTCGAAGTTGAGCAACATGTTTCCATAGCAATGGGGGTCTTAGAATTAAGATAGAGACTTGAAATTAGTAGTTATCTTGGCTATGCCACTACAAGGTAACATACAAAAGTAGAAAACTATTCATTTACAGACAAACAAATTATGGACCAAACAAAATTTTCACGTCAAATGCAACAAAGTATTAGCATTATACTAGGTACCAGATACTAATTTTTCAAAGTAGCTGTATGTCAAATTCATCTTTTTCATACAAAAGGCCTATGTCTCCTGAGAATTTTGGTACCATACTTTTATCTCTGAGTCAATGTTTAAGAGAATGGCAGTTGTTTTAATTTAACATAATAGTAAAATATTGCTGGAGTCGTTAACTGGCTGCAACCCCATGTTTGACAGATAGTAAAAGAGCACCAAGTGCACCAAACATCTCTACATTCAAAGAGTAAAATACAATCACTATAACATAGAAATGAAACCTAATATTTTTCGGGACTGTGAGATCATTACAAATCAGTATTTTATTGCCTCAAACACGATGATCTGTCGTTATTTCAACAAAAACACCGAGCGTTGTCTCGGCCGGCGACGCACCAGGTCCAGCCCTCACGGCGAGCGAGTCGGCTCTGTACTGTAGTATACTGAGTGCTCCCGGTAGTTTCGCAGAAGGATTCATGCAAAATAATTCCAAGCCGATGGCTTTATTCTAATAGAAAAGGAAATGTTCTTTCTATTGGAACCTCTTTTTAGACGATATTTTACACATTTCGTGTTAAAAATGATTTTTGAAAACTTAGACCTTTTTTTTTAAAGGTTTTCTATCTAAACGCCAAAGGTTAAAAAAATGACCTCGGGAAAACACGAACAAAGCTGTATAGTTCTCCGCCAATGAAAAGACGGTATTTAACCATCAATCTTTCTCCAAAGCATTTGAATGCATGGGTGTCAATTTTGAACCGGGGGACCTCGCATTCCGACCGCGGGGGGCTTCCCTTTCCTCGGCGATTCTCCAGCTCCAAATACTCGGATATACAAGCAATTTTCACTATTACAACGAACAAAATCTGAACTTTTTCAAAGTGTTCAGCATTTGGTGTTTTATAGCAAAAGAGCAAAGAAACAAAGATCTGAATTACCCCCATTTCACCGAAACCACGCGCTCAGAAGGCCGCGAGTCGGCTTACGTGCAGAGAACCTGATTATACGTTTGCAATAGCACCATAAACACACGAGAGCACACACACACACACGCACACACACACACACACACACACACACACACACACACGCACACACACACATACACACATATACAAACACACCAACACACATACACACATGCGCATCGACTGCCTCGGTGGCCTCTCTGAGAGATCTAGAGGAAGGTTAATTAATCTTTTAAAAGCTCTAAAACACAATAAAAACTAATTTTTTAAAGTCAATCCAAGTGTAAAACCGAAAGATCAACAGACGATTGCAGCTTGCAGGGCACGCCCACACAGTCAGCTGTTTACGTAAACAAGCTTGAAGTGAGCTAGAAGTTACCGTTTTTACTCCGTTTTACCAATCAGAATTGTTTACATTTCTAACAATCTAAAAATAGTTGCAAATGAAGAACTTTGGAGCAAATATTTTTCCACTAGTGGGGAACCTTTGGTTGAAGCAAAGGTGGCCATGAGGTAATGGTTCTAAAAATAATCTCACAGCTACACACTAGCAAGGTCCAAATTCCTTTATCCCGTCACCCAAGCTCACAACAAACCACACACACCGCCAAAACAAATCAAAATAAAATATTTATGGTCGATTATAGTTGTTTATTTGTATCTTAAATGAAGCAGAAGACATCAAACTTTCAATATACCCCCCCCCAACAACAAAAAATGTCATGGAAAGTCATCTTTTTGCCTTTCGAGCCTCAGCTAATAATAGCATAGTGCGTTTACGACTGAAATTGAGAGGGGCAGACAGATTTGTCATTTTTCCAATAGAGCAAGTATAGTCAAGACTTAGATCAGCATCATTGTATGTACAGCTAGTGAATTTCTACTGAGCGTATCAGTATCAGGCTGATCTTCCTCTTCCTATTCGTTTACTTCATGTTCTTCTTCTCCCTCTGTATTTTCAGTGTTCACACCTGATCTTGATCTATATCTAGTCTGCCCTTGTCTCTTAGGTGTCATTCGCCCAATGGCTTGCCGTTTGGGTAGCATTGTGATTTTATTCTCATCTAGATCTAGATAAATCTAACACACAAACACACACACACACACACACACACACACACACACACACACACACACACACACACACACACACACACACACACACACACACCTGATATACTGTCTTCGTCTCTTAGCGACAGGGCCACAGCACAGCCTCTAAATTATAATCTATCACAGACGTAGCCACAGCACAGGTGCCAGTCATAATCAGATCTTCCGTTTGGTGGTCTAGTATCTCTAGATCTAGACCTAAATCTAGATTTGTCACAAAGATACATCTTGTAAGTCTAACTACCATAGAAAAGTAACTCTCTGTAAGCGATCCGCAACATCTCAACAGTAGGCGCCCAAAGAAGATTTGTTTATTTCGAGCGGAAGAGTAATTTTTATATCACGGAAAACGAAATATGTCTTGAACACTTAATTGAAATGACGAACGGGAAAATCGTAAACTGCCGATAGTGTTTTCTATTCTTCTAACTTTTTAGGCGAATGCAAGCACTTACTGAATTGATAGAAAACTAGCTTGGTCTTTGAAATAACTTCCGTAATCTTGTTCATGGTTCTACGTTCCGTAGTTTTTTCTGCTATAGAAAACAACCATCCACATTTACGCAATTACAATATATATAT